AATGTGGCTTTGCTGCCAGAGTTGATTCTGATCATAGCTGTTTTACATAAAAAGCTGAACAGTGTGCCGAATGACTTGGCCACTGACTTCCCTTCAATTTCCTTAAAGCGCCAGTCATGGTGTTGAGTTACAGCAACACACTGTGTTGGAGAAGACATGCCTCTCTTACAAAGGACTGAGGCTACTGGGGCAAGCAATCAGCTGAGACTTAGTGCCTACAATTTGCCTCCGTGGTGCAGTTAATGGGCTCGCTGCTAATCTACAGGCTAGAGGTTTGAGTGCCTACAGAGGCACCTCACAAAAATGGCCTTTTGAGCTACCGTAGTCCCCGACTTAGGATATATTCGAGTTACGATGACCCATCCTTAAAGGCCGCCTGGTTTCCATCTGTTTCTTTCTGGGTACACCTTATCATGAGTAATATGTGCCATGAATAGCGTCAAAGTATCTCTGAATTTATACCCCTAAAGATAAATACAGATTGGATTTATACAGATATTGATAAGAAAAGGCAATAATAACGACAACTTAAAAAGGAAAAAAAAAGATGTATCCAACTTACGTCAGACTGACTTAGATGGAGTTGTCAGAGTGGAACCCGTGATAAGCAGGGACCGCATTTCCACAGATACCAGGCACTAGAAGCCCCTAGTGCCCGCTTCTCCTGTGACACAGACATACAGGGTTATCATCAGTCAGAACTGGCTTGACGACCCCTGGTCAGATGTTCCCATCAGTATGTCAGTTAGCACACTGGAGTATTGTGGGCGCTTATCTTTATAAGTTGAACTTCAAGTACAGCCAGATAACAATGCTGTATTATAAAAGGTGGGCGGGATGGGGCTCAGCATAAATGTGCTTTTTATGACAGAGAGCAATTGTTTCAAAAGAAACCAGTTTCACCCAAGCATGTTAGAATCTCAGTTTTATTCCCTTCCAGAGAATTGAAGCCTTTTTTTTTAAGTACTATTTCCCCCCAAAAACCACTTTATTGGGAGCTAATCCAGATACATATCATTTCCTAGTTCAGTCACATCGAGCAGTGTTGCACAAGCAGTACTGTGTAGTATGGCACCCAATCCGTTCCCAGGCCTTCTCTTCTTTCTTGGACTCCTTGGCGTCAGCTCCCTTTTCGTTTTAATTTGAATTGTACCACTCTCGCATTAGCCAGCATCAGGATAACTTCCTGAACTTGGTAAATATGCTCAATTTATTTGGATCCAACATCCTATCTTAAAGGGAAAATGAAATTACTTGAAGGAATATATTGTTTTTCAATTAGAAAAGAGAAAAAACGAAAGTTGTTTGTGTGAAAAGGCATCCTACGTGCTAGGGAAAGCCTAGGGACATCTTAAGTGAAATATTTGAAAATAGCAGCGATATCTTAGTGGATCCCGAATTTGTGGAGCGTTTTCGCAGAATCGGGTTACCGGCTGTTCCTGCACTGGTGGAACAACGGCTCCTCAGCAGGCACCCAAGTGGGCCCACTTGTTTCCAGGCAGTCTCTGCCAGGGAGCCCGGGGTTTTGTGTTTCCCCTACTTTTATTTAGAAAAGGATTTTACCTGAGCGTCTTAACATCCCTCAGAAAGGAGCCTCGTGCATTTTTGTGCACAGAGACGGGAAGAGGCAAGGGTGCACCGAGACCATCAGTGCAGTCACATCCAGTGTGCTGTCAGGATTTGGGCTCAGGAGTGGTGAGTATTCCACAGTGTGCCAGTATTGCTGTCAGTCCCTTGTCAGTGCTGGTTCAGTTCAGCTAAGCCTCCACACACCCACCTTCTGTGTTTGGTATCTCCTGGATAAAATGAATTCATCTACATAAATTGTTATGTTTGGCAGGGCTCCCTAGGGAAGCAAAACAGGACACTTATGATTATGTATATATGAGGATAGATTTATACAGCGAGAAGGAAAATACTTAGTGCGCACAGCAGTACAGAGGGTTCAGTCCAACTCACTTCCAGGGCACAGTTAATATACTGGAAGTCCTTCAACTCAAGTGGGATGCTGGGTCCAAGGTCAAGGAAGCAGACAGCAGAGTCCTCCCTTAGGCAAGGCAAGCAGAGTCTGCCCACAGGCATCAGACACTAGGATGGGTCACCTCAGGAGTTTAGTGAAGCAGGCCTGGATGGGAGGATGGAATATCTAACGCATGTAATGCAAGGTGACAGGTGCTACCAGCCTCAAGCTCAAGCAATGTACTCACCAGCAATGTGGTGAAGCAGGTCTCAAAGGAGCCTCAAGCTCTAGCGACATGATCCATGGGTTGG